AATAATAATAATAATAATAATAATAATAATAATAATAATAATAATAAGTGAAATTTATTTCCGCCAGACTGAATTCATGTCATGCCTCTGTCAGAATTTGATTTGGAGGGGGAGGCTGAGCAACTGACAGGGAGTGGGAGTGTGGCTCTGGTGGATGTGGAAGAAACTGGGGAAGGGCAAAGTCCGGCTGGGCAGAGCGGGGGAGAGGTAGAACAAGGGAGAGGGAATTTGGAGGAAGACCCAGGCTTACCCCCTCTTCATCCTAGGGCACTCAAGGAGGAACGGAGAAGGGAGCAATGGGAGTTGCATGGCTTATGGGGGAGGAAAGGGCCCTGATTCCCTTCATTAGCTGCAGCTGGGAACACAGTGTTTAAAAAGGGAAGTTGCGCACAGCATACTGTTGGGAGCAAATTGTGAATTATCTGGTATTACTGAGGCTTATCTGTGTTCCTGGCGTCTTCCCAACTGTGTGTGTTTTGCTGGCCTTTCAAGTCTGCAATTCCTGTCAAGTTAATTACTGCAGCGTGGTATGTGTGGATTTTTATTTACAGTTTGTATGTACTTTGTTTTTGGACTGAATTTCCTCCACTTAAAGATTGTTCTTGGGAGAGTTTTTTTTTCTCCAGCCGAAGGTAACTTGGACATCGGGGACAAGATTGGAGGTATTTAAAGGGACTCTTCTTACTTATGTGACTGTGTTGCCTTTGTGCCACGCCCGTTTGGGTCATCACAGTTCAAGTCCATGCATCTTAAAGTTCCTAAGGTCGACAGACACTGATCTACAAGCACTGGAAGGAGTTCTTGGTTGCCACCTCAACTAACATCCTGAGGTCCCATCCTGAAGAACAGGCAGATATCTCTACGCTCTTCCCCTTCCAGCAGCCAGGTGTCCTTCGGAGTCAACCTTGTTTCCCTGAATGTCCACCACAGTCTTCTACCTTCCGGGCTCGCTTGGCAGAACATCCCCTAGTTTGGCCTTCCTGGCAGTGCCCTCAGGTTAATCCTTCAGAGTCCCCAAGGCGAGAGCAATAATTTCAGGCATGCTCCTGTAGAGAGAATCCTGTTCCAGGCCCACCAGACCTGAGAAGCGGGTGGCCTTCTGTGCAACGATGGCTTGGATATGAGCTCGGTAGAGGCCCTTGGCGTTCTTGGAGGCCAAGTCCACCAGGATCTGGGGGAACAGGTGGAGAAGAGAGAGAGCAGGAGGCTGATAATTTAAAAAAAAAAAACTAATAAAATCTTTGGTTGTCTAAACAGAAAACTTAGAATCAAAATCATAGGAAGTAATCTCCACTCCTCTACTCGTTGCAGAATACCTTACGCCACCAGACTTGAAATTCTAGACCTAGAAAACCTAGAACTACGCCGCCTTCAGTCCGATCTAAGAATAGTACATAAAATCATACATTGCAATGTCCTACCTGTCAATGAATACTTCAGCTTCAATCATAACAATACAAGAGCACACAATAGATACAAACTCAAGGTAAACTGCAAACAAACTTGATTGCAGGAAATACGACTTCAGCCACAGAGTGGTCAATGTCTTGAATATTCTACCTCATTCTGTGGTTTCTTCCCCAAACCCCCAAAACTTTAACCTTTAGACTGTCTACTATTGACCTCACCCCTTTCCTAAGAGGTCTTTAGGGGGTGTGCATAAGCGCACCAACGTGCCTACCGTCCCTGTCCTATTGTTTCTTTTTATTTTCCTTATATGTACCCATTTCATGTATTCATAACTATGTTTATGCTTATACCTGTTTTCTTATAATCGCTTGACAAAATGAATAAATAAATAAATTACTACAGCTTTATAAATCTTTAGTAAGGCCACTCCTGGAATACTTGCATCCAGTTTTGGTCATCACATTACAAAAAAGAGGTTGAGACTTTGGGGGGAAAAAATGTGCAGAAAAGAGCAACTAAGATGCTCAAAAGCCTGGAGACAAAAACATTTGAAGAACAGTTGCAGGAACTGGGGATGTCTAGTTTGATGAAAAGAAGGACTAGGGGAGACATGATAGCAGTCTTCTAGTATCTCAGGGGCTGCCCCAAAGAAGAGGGAGTCAAGCTCTTCTCCAAAGCCCCCGAAGGCAGGATAAGAAGCAACGGATGGAAACTGATCAAGGAGAGAAGCAACCTGGAAGGAAGGAGAAACTTCCTACGAGTGAGGACAATTCACCAGAGGAATAGCTTCTCACCAGACATTGAGATTGATCCTGGCCGGCTCAAGGTTGACTCAGCCGTCCGTCCTTCTGAGGTCAGTAAAATGAGTACCCAGATTATTGGGGGCAAGAGGCTGACTCTGTGAAGCACTTAGAGAGGGCTGTGAAGCACTATGAAGCGGTATATAAGTGCTATTGCTCTTCCTTCCTTCCTTCTCTTCCTTTCTTCCTTTCCTTCCTTCCTTCCCTTCCTCCCTTTCCTTCCTTCCTTCCTTCCCTTCCTTCCTTTCCTTCCTTCCTCCATTTCCTTCCTCCCTTCCTTCCTCCCTCCCTTCCTTTCCTTCCTTTCCTTCCCTTCCTTCCCCTTCCTTTTCTTCCTTCCTTCCCTTCCTCCCTTTCCTTCCTTCCCTCCCTTCCTTTTCTTCCTTCCTTCCTTCCTTCCTTCCTTCCTTCCTTCCTTCCTTCCTT